AGCATCATTACTTCAGTCTTCAGTGTCACATGATCCTTCAGAATTTATTCTAATACGCTGATTTGCTGCTCAAGAAACATTTCTTCTAATTATCAATGTTGAAAACAGTTGTGCTGAATCTGATTAATATTTTTAAGGAAACGGTGATACTTTTTTCAGGATTCTTTGATGAATAGAACGTTTAAACGAACAGCATTTATTTGAAATAAAAATCTTTTAGAACATTATAAATATCTTTACTGCCATTTTTGATTAATATAATGCATTCTTGCTGAATAATTTTTTTTTTCAAACAAATTTGTCTATGTATGTATATAATTTATCAAAATAATAATCCAAATAATTAACCAATATTAGGTTATTTTGAAATAGTGCATTATTATTGCATAAAAATGTTGGATGGAAACACCAAAATGTGAATCAAATTGCCATAAATAATGTACATTTAAAAAAACGTTCATTGGAGGTGATTTTTTTTATATGTAAGGTGACAGAAAGGCAAACCACGAAGGAAACATAATTATCAAATAAATTCTTAAAAGCGCATCAAAAAAGGCATGTGACGTTTCCTCAAGTGATGTGACTGAATAATTTGCTCATATGACTACATTATTATCTCTTCCTCTACCATTTTTTTAAATGAAATTTAAGTAAATACTGCATAAAATAAGTGAATTTTGGTAGGCTACATCTTTTGTTGTCATTTAATTATGTATATTGGTATTAAATTAACCACCCTGCTCTCTAAATGTCTACACTGGCCATTGATAAACCTATATGTCAACCACTAACTCATACTCACCACAGATGGATCCCACAGCCACGATGAACCCAGCCCAGCTATATCCTCGTCTGAAGAACGCATCTGAGAGCGCCGAGTTTGGGTCGAGCGTATGCCATGGAACCATCAAGGTAAGAACTGTGGACACCAGGACATATGCTGTGGCTGCCAGGCCTAGTGAGATTGCAGTCGCTGCAGGAACAGCCCTCTGAGGATTGCTGGCCTCCTCGCTGGAAGCCGCTATCACATCAAAGCCAACGAAGGCATAGAAGCATGTTGCAGTTCCTGCCAGGATGCCTGAAAGTCCAAAGGGGGCAAAGCCTCCCTCCTGAGTGCTCCAGTTGACTGGGTCGGCCAGTACAAAGCCAAACACCAAGATAAAAACAATAACTGCCATACTGATGGCTGAGAAGATGTGGTTTAGCCAAGATGAGACACGAACACCAAATGAAATGAAAAAGGAAGCTACTAGGAGGATGGCAGCTGCTAAGAGGTCTGGGTAATGAGCAATGAAGGGCACATTCCAACGCATCACATGACTCTCGGTGAAGTTCTGAATGCGATGATTGAAAATAGAGTCCAGATATCCACTCCATGCACGTGCTACTGCCGCCCCACCAATCATATACTCTAAAATTACATTCCAGCCAATCAGGAATGCCCAGATTTCCCCAACAGAGACGTAAGTGAACATGTAGGCGGAGCCTGTCTTTGGTACACGGGCACCAAACTCAGCATAACACAGTGCTGCCATGAGAGACGCCACTCCAGCTATGATGAAAGACACCACTACAGCTGGTCCTGCAGTGTCTTTAGCAACAGTTCCCGTGAGAACATACAGGCCTGAACCCACCATGCCACCAACACCAAGCAGTGCGAGGTCCACTGTGGACAGACAACGTTTGAGTGAAGTTGCCATTACGTCCTCCTCCAGCGTCTTCAGCCTGTTCAGCTTCTGACAGAACCTCACCACTGGAGAGCAGCCGGAAACACATGATGCCATCTTGATAGAGAACGGAGGGTTGGTGAAAGAGATTGTGTGAAATATACAAAAGATCACACCTGGTCCATAACTTTCTGAGTCAAACAAACTCTACAAACCTAAAAGGAATAGAAACAGAATAGAAAAGCAAATCTATAACACACTGAACACCAAAGTCAAAAATTAACCAGTTATTTTAAGCGAAAGATTCCAGCACAAGTGACAAAAAATTTACCAGATAATTAAAGCGTGTGGGCAAAACATCTAATATTTGATATATTTCATAATATCCTTTTCTAGGCCTGTCTAGTATGGGTTTAGGTGCCTTTGCAGTGACATATATATAGCTTGCATGTAGCAGACGTGTACTCACTGTCTCTGAGGCAAATGCTATGGAAAGTGTACCTAATGTTATTATTTAGATATTTTATACATTTATTTAATTTAGTCTGTTAAATCCCTCTATGTAGACCTGGCATATTACCTCTTTAAAATGCAGCGTGGATGCTCATTACTGTTTAATGCTTAAATGTGATATATATTTGATGAAGTAAATCATAATGTTAGCTATGTGGAGCTGTGGCCTGGTTACAGTGGCTCAGTCCACACACACGGATGCTGCTGCAGATGGTGATTCCGCTCACATCACATCCGCTGCTGGAGTCCCGAAGGAATTAGATGTCAAAATCTCCATTGCACAGTCAATCTATAAATCACTTTAATACCTAGGATTGACACAAAAGCCAAGCTAAATGTTGACGGACTACCTTTCGCCATTAAGCGCAGCATGAATAATTTGAGTTCGAGTCATTTGAATTTATTTGAGATTAGTGATATTTCAAAGAGCTGGAATAAGCTCACATATAAGAGCCAGCGATCTTTTCTTGTTGCTTTTATCGTTTAATTGAACAAAACTGTGACAGCTGCTGTTTCATCCTCCTTAACGCTAAAGCCATTAACTAACGTCACAGACACAGGTGAGAAACTGCCCCGCTCTCTGCACTGTACTGGCCACAAACCTAAGCATTCAAATCATATACATACACATCCGTAAAATAAAGAATAGTACGACTTTGTACCTGTAGTTGGTTCGCGTCTCGTTTGGTGAAAGCGATGCTGTAAAGCGTCATTGAACAGAAGGGAGGGCGGAGGAGCGAACAGGAGCTGGTTCCGCTCTTAAAGGTACAGCACCTCATTCATTAATGCAGGGCTGTTCCCATCCTAACCGTATATTAGAAATGGCCAAATTATTAGTATTGAATTATGTGTGATGCTTACTCTTAGGCATGCTAATCACTTCCATACTTAGACCTAGTTTATACTTAAAAAAAAAAAAA